CTTCTCGTTGAAGGTCGAGCACGATCTTCCTTATCCCAACAGGATAGGAGAGGTCGACCCAGGAAGAGGACTACGTCATGCCTTTTCAAGCCGGTCAGTTGCAGAAAAACATCCACCACTGGAAGGATCGGGGCACCGCCTAAATATAATAACTGGTTATTTTATCCCTTTTCAGGCTGTAACATGATTATTTGTGTTAAGGCGACGTCATGAGACCACGTTGTGGTGATGAAATATAACAAGGCTTGGTGAACAGTGTGGACTTCGGATCTTCAAATAACAAGATAATAAGAAGCTGTCACCATCATAACTGTCTTCTCAGCTACCCATTTCAACAGATTTCATCAAGGAATGTAAACTTAGTTTGTCAACGTCGTACAATAAGGTAAAGAAGAGTATGTATTTAGTTTAATAACGTTGGAAATTAAATGTTAACGCCACCACTCTCTACGATTAAACCCAGTATATGGTAAAAGAAAGTTGTTTCAATCATTTCACAGCATAAACCTACATACACCCTGAAATAATTAAGTCTTTTGTTCTCTGATTTTGATAGTCGGTGAGTAACATATCCACTTAAAAAAATATGTTACAAGGCAAAACCACCTTTATGCCTGCCAAATTACTGCAGCAGTCACACGGCTCAGTAGCCAGATATGGATCAAATTATTCAGAAATTACTCAATCAACGCATAATCATACCAATTCCGAACACGCCAAGTTTCGTCTCGACGTTATTCCTAAGACCCAAAGTGATGGAAGTTTAAGACCGGTTTTCAATGTAAAACAACTGAACAAATACGTTCGTGCAGACAAATTTCGTCTCATGAACGTGCACAGAGTACCAGACTGCCTGCAAGATGGCAATTGGATGGCAAAAATAGATCTACATCAGGCGTATTTTCATGTGAGGGTCACTCCCAGGCACAGATGGTTTCTCCGCCTGATTTACGAGGAAAAAACTGTAAGCCCAAAAGGTAAGGCTGTCTAACGAAATGACAGCCTTACCTTTTGGCCTCAGTTCCGCCCCGAAAACTTTCGCATCGCTATCAGCGGATGGCGCAGCAACTCAGAGAAAGGGGGGGTACGGCTTCTAATCTATTTCACGATTTTTATCTTGTCAATCAAGACATAAACACATTGCGCGATACATGTCAATGGCAACAACCCTCTTGAAGTACCTAGGGTGGATATTAAACGAGGAAAATTCCGTATACGAACCACTTAATGTTTTAGAATTCTCGGCATTATGTGGGATTCTTTAAGGAACATAAAGTACTTACTGAACAGACTAGCAGCAAAAATAGAAAGACAAGTTGCTGCAATTCGAAGCAAGAAAAAGGTAAGACTCCCAGAGCTGCAGAAAATTATAGGGATGTTGAACTTTGCCAGTTTTCCATTTCCATCCACAGAGAGGACCATTGAATTTTCAAGAGTTGTAGTTTCAAGTGAATTCACTTCTGAAGACGGGATCAGTAAAAGCAATTAAATTACCAAAGACTGCTCGAACAGAGTTGGAATGGTGACTAAGTCACTGCAGGAAAACTTCTCCGATCCACAGACCCCCTTCATCGCATTATCTAAAAACAGATGCGAGCGATCTCGGTTGGGAATCAAAATTGGACAACGAAGTCTAACTGGCCAAACTGGCGAGCGCAAGTTACACTGCAACATCAAAGAGATAATTGCCATTCTAAAAATTTTAGAATATCTGCTCCAAAGCTCGAAGGGACGGGAAAAGTTGTATTTGCAAAATGGGGCATACCAGTCATCGACCTTTTTGCTTCTGCAACTGCACATGTTCCAACCAGAAAGACAAGCTACTTTCCACGACGCGCTGAATTGGAATTACTCATTAGCCTGGGTATTCCCCCCACCACATCTGATACCGAAAGTGCTAGCGCATTTAATCAAAGCCCAAGGCACTTACTTCCTAGCTGTACCTCGGTGGAACAAAGTATACTGGAGGCCAGATCTCAAGCGCAGAGCGTTGTCAGCTCCCTTCATAGTACGCAAGCTGCCCCAAGTACTGATGGATACATCAACAGGCGACCATAGCCAGAAATCGGAACGATGCAGATCGAAATTTCGATCGAAAAAAAAGATTGGTCTGAAAATCAGAAACTGTTACTTTCATCTAGTTGGCGTGAATACACCAATTCAAAAACCTAGAAACCTGCATGAAAAGGTGGGTGTTTTTGGCGGAGCAAAACAATGTTAATGTGTGCCAACTATCAGGATCCCACTTTGCAAGATTTTTGGCCAACTTACACCAGAAGTAAGGTGTAGCTTTTAGCACCATATAGTGCATAAATCCGCAATATCCACCTATGGGATATTGATAGTAATACAGCAAATCGCTACGAAGGATCCTGCAACTACAAACCTTTACGATGTATCCAAGATAACAGCGACTAAGCCGTTGTTGGCCTCGGGTAAACGGGTGCACGATTTTACTCTTCTAAGTATATCTCCTGATAACTGTATTGCTACTGATACGGAAGTGACATTTTGGCCGAGCTTCGGTTATAAAACGGATGACGCTAAGTCGCCAAGGACCAACAAATGGTTTCAAATTATTAAAAACGAAAAAGTAAAGTAAAGTAGTAAAGAGGGGGGATGATAATTCGCTAAACATAGTCCACTGGATTAAACGCTTGTTAGAATTGTTCCACTTCAGACGGATAACAGCTAAGTCGGAAAACTAGTTTATCACTTCGATAGGTGAACCCAAAGCAGCGTAGAAAACAGTGATAGGACGTTGGATTAGAAAATTGTCACAAGAAGCCGGTGTAACTGCTACACCGGCAGCATGAGATCAGTTGTAGCTTCGATGATATGTCTAGAAAATTGTCCCATGGAAGATATTCTGTCAAGAGGGAACTGGAAATCTAAACATTCCTTTAAAAAGTTCTATAGATGAGCAGTAAAATGTAATAATTCTTCGTTGATTCGCTCTCAGTTTATGCTAATAGCATGATTATTAGTAACTAGGGATTAACAATAGTAACTTAATTAAATAATAACAATAAAATATGATTTATTTTCCGCAACCCATCATCATTTTATTTATTTACTGATCACATTAGGCTAGGTTTACATAACTAGCACCACCAGGCGATTCCAAACATATCTCTTATGTATTTTTAGGCTTCGATTAACGGTACGGTACTGTCTAATAAAAAGTTTTACATTTATTTTTATTTTTAAGCAGTTACACATTTAAAACTAAATCAAAAATTTATTACAAAAAAAAATCCACAAGGGCCAGGCAGCAGACAGGGCGGCGGAGAGAGCTACATGGGTGCGCCCGAGTAGCCCTCCGCAGCGGACGGGGGGCGGTACGGTGGGCACTAGGCCGCGTATTCAGCCCCCACGCGCGAGCCATCCTGCGCACGTCTGCGGGGTCCCCGTAATACCTTGGGAGACCCCTGCCGTGGAGCCCCGGCGAGGCCGGGAAGCTGCTGGGTGCGGAGTCGCGGAAGAATCCCTAAACGGGGACCCCGCGGCTTCGCATAAAGCAGTGTATAAGGTATTCGCAGGACTTTTTTAGCGGATATTATGCCGTAAAGCGCCCGTAAGAGTTGCGGGGTCCTCGGTGGTCAGCCACTGGGGGGTCCGTAAGACTTGCGGGAGCCAGGGTGAGGTCCGTTCGGCGGTGTGCCTCTTAAAGGCGCCGTCGTCTGTAAAAAGATTTTTTACCTGAGTTATAAAAAAAAAAGGCAGCAGACAGGACTCGAACCCGCACCATTATCATCATCAACATCAGGGGGCCAATCGCCTAACGGAAATGCTTTGGGAAACGCTAACGCTTACGATTTTATATTGTTATTTCTAGCCGCCTGAGGTTTTCGAATACCTGACGCTCATTTTTTTAATATTGTTATTACCAATGCAAAAGAAAAAGAAAGAGCGCGAGGCATTTGAATACCTCAGGCGGCTAGAAATAACAAAATAAAATCGTAAGCGTTAGCGTTTTCCCAAGCATTTCCGTTAGGCGATTGGCCCCCAGGGCGGCGATAGCATAATGGTCAGGGCATTCGCCCCGATAGGGAAGGATGCGAGACCGAATTCTGTCTGCTGCCTGGTCCACGTGGAATTTTTTCTAGTTAAATTTTCTCAAGTTGGTGTCTTGTTGATATTTTGTTCACAAAATGTAAAGCGACTATGGTGTCGATTCTACCATGATTAACTAAACTTGAAACTAAATTTAACATCAGTCTCTTCTTTTTATTCTGTATGACAAGGATATACTGTTGTCAAATTTAAGTTTAGGTTAATAGAGAATTATGCCAGAATCAACACCTATTTCTACATATATAAGATACAATAGTCATCGTGCTTCAGTTAGATCCATGTTAGATTATACATTAGAAATCATTTTAGATTCATTTTAAAATAGCATTAAAATAATTAAGGTTTTAATATTACTGGATAGCGCTTCGATATTGAGCCTCTCCAAATTCACCAGAAAACAACAAGAAAAAAAGTAATAAAACTGATCTTCAGTAGGCTTATTATTCTTTGCCTTTGAGGAACCAAACAAAACAAGTTGGGGTTTTTGTGCGGGATTTCATCGAGTGCGGTTGGCGTCTTATTTTAATTATTCTTAAATTTGTTCATAGTGGATATTGTGAAATAAAATTGGTGTGATTTTGTGTTATAACCGTCTGCGCAACTGAAGAAATAGTGGAATCTTTAAAATATACGCTATTCCGGTCAAGTGGACAAAGAATTTTATTGTAGTATTGACTACCTCACAGAAGCTTATCGAAAAAGCCAACTCGATATATTTCGTGCCAAACACTCCAAGAAGCATTAGAATGCGTCACACCCACATTCTAATGTAAAAAAAGGAAGATTAATATAAAAATAAGACGATGGCTGCATGGCTATGTCTTTGCGTTTCTCAATAGAGAAGAATAGAACTAAAAAAAAAACAAAACAATTTGGTTGACATTTCTAAATGACAGCTGGCTGACAGGAATGAGCTGAGGCTGAATGACACTGACAACTTGCAAAAAAATCTACAGAAGTAGTGTTTTGCACTGTTTTGCATTAAATTATGTCTAGCTTTATTTAGATGTGTGACATATATTTTATCTCCGAAGACATGGATCTGACTAAAACGGAAAAGACCAAGTTTCTTGCACCAGATATGGCGGTGAGCGCTGTACTGGTGCCAAGTCAGGAGTTACCAGCTGAAACCCCGATAGTTTCTGGTTATGACTGGGAAAGTGGCGTCGATTACAACAAATTGCTCGAAAGCTATGCGTGCTCAGGATTCCAAGCGACCAGTTTTGGCAAAGCGGTGAGCGAAATCAACAAAATGTTGAAATGCAGAGCTGTCCCTTTGACAGAGGAAACTGGTGACCCATACGAAGAAGACGCCTTTATAAAAAAGAACACGAACTGCACGATCTTCTTAGGATATACTTCTAACATGATCTCTTCAGGTTTACGCGATTCTATCAGGTTTTTAGTTAAAAACAAACTCGTTGATTGCATTGTCACAACAGCGGGGGGAGTGGAAGAAGATTTAATAAAATGTCTGGCGCCTACGTATGTTGGCGACTTCTCCCTAAGTGGCAAAATGCTTAGGACTCGTGGCATAAACAGGATTGGCAACTTACTGGTACCCAATGACAACTATTGCAAGTTTGAAGAATGGGTGACACCGATTCTTAATGAAATGCTCAAGGAGCAGATCAGAGAGAATATTGTATGGACTCCATCCAGAATAATAGCGAAATTAGGCCAGAAAATCAATGATGAAAGTTCAGTATGTTACTGGGCGTGGAAAAATAACATTCCTATTTTTAGCCCTGCTTTAACTGATGGGTCCTTGGGCGACATGATGTACTTTCATTCATTCAAGAAACCTGGTTTTATTATTGATATACTCAGCGACTTAAGGAGACTGAACACTATGGCTGTTAAAGCAAATAATACGGGTATGATTATTTTAGGAGGAGGTGTGGTGAAACACCACATTTGTAACGCTAATTTGATGAGAAATGGTGCTGATTATTCTGTATATGTGAATACTGGCAATGAGTTTGACGGTAGCGATGCAGGAGCTCGACCTGATGAAGCTGTCTCTTGGGGGAAGATTAGAACTAATGCTACTCCTGTGAAATTGTATGCTGATGCAACTCTTGTATTCCCTATGCTTATCGCTCAGACATTTGCCAAGTATCATTTTAGCAATAAAAAGAATGTTTAGAAATGATTGTTTCATTAAGTTTATTTGATATGGTAGATTTTAAGTTTTAAATGCGATTAATAAAATTCGTATTACATTTCGTATTATTTATTTAATAGGAAAATTGATGATGAATGAAATTAGGGAGATTGTTTAATAATTTAATTTTAGTATTACTCTTAGACTCCATCATGTTAAAAATGTTATACTGAAAAGATTTGGTCACATAAAGTGGAATCTGTACTGATTTTTATTATTTTCAAAATATTGTTACTGACATAGAAATATTTTGATAATAAATTATATTCACACAGAAATGGTTATTTTCGTATGATTTTGGTGTATTGCCATCTAGTGGCGAGTAGCAAAACTGAAAAGCGACACCTATCGTAGTAATTTAGCACTAAACAGGATCGTTCAAAACTTAAAAATAATTGTCATTATTATACATCCTTATTTTTATCAACTAATTCATATTAGGAAATTTAAGCTAAAATTGTATTGTCGCTAAAGCACTTCTTCGATAATTTATATAAAATTTTCTTTTATTATTTTCCCGAGAGAATTATTTAGGAAATTCAAGAGAACAAATATAAAAATTTGTTTCAATTCAAGAGTTTTGAACGGACTTGGTGTGAATGAACTGTCAAATATAGCGTGAAGTTAGCTACTGTCTGGTTGCTTCTGTGTGCGTCGGTGCGCAGCTTTTATTTACATGTGTGCTATGCGTGTAAGGTTTCGAAAAAGCTCGTTTGTTGTGTTGAATCGGTTGCTTGCTCCTGTTCGTTCGTTCGTCGTCCGGGCTTCGTCCTTCGTGGAAGTTCTGTTGAGACGGACGCCGGTCCAATTGTTTACATAGTGCTTCCAGATTTGTGAACAACATGCAACATTCCTCTTCCAATAGTCTTCTGTGTTAAAATGTGTTTACAACACTCGGACAAATAAGTGTTTAGTAATAAAGTGGCGAAATTGTATGTGACCTGTGTAAAATGGTGTGGTTGCGGGATTTTCTCCTTGTCGGTCTGTTATTATCTGGTAAGTTGCATCCTTGCAGCTCTGCGTTGCTATTTATAGCCGTTTACGGTCATTCCTTGAACTTAATGTATTTTGTTAGTGGTGCATTTATATGTAATTTGCTATGCACCGCCTTTGAAGTCGACGGATGCGGCATACAAACAAGGACTTCGTTTGATGTTTATTAATAATCGAATGTGGAATATGTTTACAATAAGTCGCTTTGAATAATGAGTGTCACCTTTGATGCAGTGAATTTTAATGCTCTTTAATAATTGTATACCTCTTTATTCCATTGCTTTGGATTTAATACTGTCATGATTTTCTAAGCAGCAAGTGTAAGTTTGAATTAAGAATATGATTATAACAATAAACTTCAAATATTTACATTTGTAGATTAAGGTTTTTGTGTTATATTAATGAATTATTTTGTTTTAAATTTTCCATAACATTCAAGTCAAACTCTAGCTTCTTAAGTAACCAACCTTAAATTTCTTTAACACTCTGGACAAAATAATAATATCCCCCTCAAATCGACTTGGATAAACATTTTATCAAATTACATTTCATAGATAACACCTTGTCTAAAGTTACTTTAAGCAATGCTTTATGAATTTACAGTATTTGTTTAATTATCAAGATTTTGCTTTGATATTCTTTCTTGATACACCCAAACATAAGTTCCATATAATATTCTTAATATATAAGTATTGAAACAATACAAACCTGTATGCCTCTCGAAAGTTTTGTCACCACATCAATTATATAAGTTCCCTTATTACATCACCAGCTCATTTCATCTGTTATAAAATAACAATATTACAGCAAATCTTATAATCCTTATAGGAGTGAAATAAGAACATCTAATAGGCTTAATTAGATGTAATTCAAAAAGGTTCCCCTGTGTCCAGTTTTCTAGGACCAAAATGCATTAAAACTAATTCAGCAATTTATTTAGTAAGAATAACTATCGCATATTCCTCAAACTATCAGCAATATTCATTCCACCACATATAATCAGTTGTGAGAAGCATAAATGTAGAAAAATATGTTGCATTGTTCAATAAAATATTGTGCTGTTTTGCCGTGACCTACTGTTGCAAAATTTGCTCATCCCTGGTATGTATATAGGCCACGGGGACTTCTTACAATCAAGAGGACAGTGTGCCTTCTTGTCCTCCATATCAAGATCAAAAATCAATTATTCAGTCTAGGCGGTTACAAGCACTTGTGAAAGTTGAGCAGCTATGCCATCAGTTCCCAAAACTATGGCAGGAGACCTTGTACTGAGAAGAACCAGCAAGAAACTCAGCAAGGGCTGTTATTTCCTCCATGTATATTATACACAGTGTAGTCAAGTTGAAAATGATTGACTTGACTTCAGAGATATTTCTAATGTCACCTTTCAGTAATGTTATAAAAACACACTTTGGTTTTGATTCTGGCATGGTTCTCTCAACCTAAACTTGACAACAGTGTGTCCTTGTCATTCTCCATGCAAAATGAAAATGAAAGAGTGATCTTAAATAAGTTTAAAGTTTAGAGAATCAAGCCAGAATCGCCTTCATTAGTGCTAGATGAAAAATTAATCATTATCATCATCAACCATTTAGGTATCATATAACACCTTCATTGCTGGGGTTCAGCTCATAACTAGGCAGAATCTAATTGGGAAACCGAGCTGTAACCTACCACGTCGTTCCAGTGTGGATTAACATGTGATAACAACTCCTAATGGAACTAGACCAACAGCTTATTTTTGAAACACATTGCATCTTAAGTCAATTCATTTGTAGTCACCCATTTCTCTAAATGGCCTGAAGAATGATCTTTGTGTACCTCTTCAAATGCAGGCTGATCAGAAGCTTGATGGTGCACACATGGTTAGTGATTCTGAATGGTAAGCAACTGTCACACGGCCCAGTCTCCCTATTCCATCCATAGCGTTAAGGTCTGTGCCCCAGCAGTGGGGACATTAATAGGCAGATTATGATAGGATTATGGTATTCATATTTCTGATTGTTTTTAATCACTGAGATTGGTGTCTCCTGTGGCAAGGTAATAACATTGATTAAGTTACAATAGGCCACAGAGTTGAACATGCTCATAAATATAGATAGACTGTGATATAGTTAGGCGCATAAAGTACTTTAATGGACTATTTAACTTGGAACTTGATGAGATTAAAATTTATTATAATGCTGAGAAAACCCCGAGTCAGTGCGTAGCATGAGCGACACAATTTACATTATATTCGTTTTATATTGCGTCTAACTGTCAAACTGATTAGTAATTTGACATATCGCGGTGCTCATATTCTAGTGGGGGGGGGGGGGCTCAGTACCTCCTCTCTGGAGTCTTGTAAATGTCAAAGAAAATCTATCCAAGCATGTGTCGCGTTTTAAACATGCACATTTGCCATAATATATTATCTGTGTTGTCCTAATTTAAATGATTAAACGACATATTAAGTAGTACTAGTGGATAATAAATGCCATTTATATTTTTAATGAATTTGTTGTATCTTCTACACATAAATGCATGATAATACTTGAGACAAAATTGGGCAGAGTTGTATGGGGAAAAAATGGATACTTTAACAAGAAACGGCGAAATGATATTAATGTGTCGTGCAAAGAGAAATCCTGAAGTTTTAATTTTATTTTCGGCTGTAGCCGCAATAGGATTATTTCGACGACCTCGATAGCTCAATGTCTAACGCGCTTGGTCTGCGATCGTGCATGTTAAGCAAAGTTCTCAATGGCCTGTCATAGGATCGGTCACCAGAAATTTGTCATGTTCGACGTGAGGGCTACCTTCAACAGTTTTGGAAAAGTTACGCTAAATCGTTAGTCCCGACTGCATCTGTATTCTTTTTCTCCAGAGCACTCCCTTTTTCATATATCATCCACAGAGAAGGCCTGTGCGCCACCATTAATAGACTCAACTGAATACAGAACCTTTGTATACTTACAGGGAGAAAAAAAACAGCCCTTGTTAAGTTTCTTGCCGGTTCTTCCCAGTACAAGCCGTGCGGTCCGAATTGCGAAAACCTGCCAATGTTACGAACAGTGCCAATGATACGCAGGGCTTGTAACCGGTTTCGAAAATACCGGTAATAATAAAGGTTAATACCGCTTTTTAGTAAAGGTTTCGTTCGGAGCGCGTCCGAAATAAAAGCGGTACTTAAAACCTTAATAAACCGGTTTAATCCAGAGCGACACATGTTGCCGTCGGTATCGCTTGAAGTTTGTTTTGTTTGAACTAATCAAGTCACAACTTGTTAATACTCAGAGATTGATGCACAGTTAGTAAGTTATTCATTTTGTAGTTGTGTACTGACACACTACTTCGCTCACTCTCTCTGTAGTTGGAAAGATACTGACATAAAATCATTATAAATTTGAATTGAAACGGCGAATGCGATGCCGTCAGTAAGAGCGAAATGAAACCCTCTCAAAACCGCTAAATTGATTCAAAATCTATTTGTTTTCGCTTTTTAGGAAAACCGGTTTTCTTAAGGTTAAGGTAGAGCCAAACCTAAATAAAACGCTCCTAATGTACTTGATACTGATTTAGGTTTGAAAATTAACCGGTAAACAAGCCCTGATGATACGTCCGAATTGAATACGGTGCTATGTGCATTGTTTGCGCGTAATCATATCGAACCGCACTTTAATCGCATTTGTGTGAAATGACTTGATTTGACGCAGTGTCATATAGGTAGAAGAATAGGACTGATATGACAACTTTGGAATATTTCAGGATGAAATAATTATCTGTTTACCATTTTTATGTTATGCTGATGTTGCTTTACCGAAACGATGCATTTGTATATTACCCATTATTGTTTGTGAATTTACTGTAAAGTGTGACAAGAGAAAAAGCAAATGTAGTATTCTTAAATAAAATAGGTCATAATATTGTTCACAAGATAATGGCCACTGACAAAGGGTCAGCGCAATTGTCGTAAAAAGGTCGATTCCGTTGTCACCTTTTAGATATGGATCGTTGTATGAATCCCTTAAAAGAAACTACAGTG